TCTGCCTGCGGGTTTGACTTCACTTGTTTTTTATAGTCGAAAGATAGTTTGAAAACTACTTTTCAAGTCAGTAGTTGATGAATTCAAATGCGCCAAAATAAGATGTCAATGGAGACTTGAAAACTCGGTATAACCCAAGTTAAGCCACTCTTAAAAACGGGAAAAAATGGAAAGCCAGAAATGAAATATACTTGGCAGAACAATCTTCAAAATTCAAGGAGATTGTTGGAGCAGTGCAAAACAAAAAACACAGCGTGGGCTGTTTCAAAATAGGTGGTGGTCCAAAGTCAACAACAAAACAAGGTCAGATGATTATAGAAAAAAGACGTAAGGAATACGACAGAGAAAGAGTGGTGGCATCAGTGCAACAAAATTAACAGGGCAGATGGTAGTCGTGGAAAGAAGTGTTGCATGGAAACGTCGGTTGGAAAGAAATTTGAAATATGGCTCCTCTTCGTTTGGCTTTTCCAATAAGATGAATGTACGATTAGCTGCCAAAAAAAGCAAATTTGGTTCGGTGGAATTTGTCGTCACAGAACAAACGTACACACTGTGGAAGTTACGAGACACTCGCGCACGTGCTGTCGTCATGTTAGTATACTCTAGGCCACGGTCGGTATACATGGCGCCACAACAAAGTTTGGCGCACAAAAAAATAAACGCTGATTTATGTACTTATTTATTTATTTACGTTATGTACGCTGATTTGGAAGAAAGACGAAATTTTCCAACGTACATCAAAGATACAGGCATGAGACCTGACATGGTGGTGGCATCTGAGAATACGAATTCAGTTAACTCTGTCGTTAGTAGATAACATGCTCAGTAGCCACAACGTAAAAACTGCAAAGTACAAACAACTGATTTAAGATTTAAACAAGAAAGGATACAGAAATAGGTTCTATGCTGTTGAGGTTGGGGAAAGAGGAACAGTGGGAGCGTCGATGTTTGCACTTTTTAAGGAGTTGGGACTGTCAGGCAGGAAGCGTACAGCATGCCTAAAAAAAGTAGCTTAGAGCAAGATTCTTATTAGTTGTTGCTGAATAAAAAGGAGTGTCGGCTAAATTAGCAAGCCACGGTTAAAGTGATACGACTTCGTATGGAAATATAAAGCTGAATTTTGGTATAAATAGCAGATCAATACCGCTGAAAAATCAACAGTCTTCGAAAAGCGTTCGAGTGATCAACGAACGTGGCCCGGTCCCCCGAAAGTGTAAAAAGGTTTTTCAGGGCCGAAACATTTGTCGACGAAGATGAGGAAGTCTTGATGATTTGGTTCGACTGAGTTTTCACATACTGTAACTATATTTTTTTAAATATTTATTTGTAACATTATTATTCAAAAAATGAAGAATGAAAATCATATTTTTGTAATTTGTGCTTGGAAATTGTGTTCAAATTGCAAAATTTTGCTGAAAAGGGTTTGGATTCCATAACTCGCACTCCATAACCGAGCGGAAAGTCGTTTGCCAACTAGATGTTCAAGCCTCGTTAACAATCAGCTAGTTTTTCAAAGCTGATACAATTGAACCGAATTCTGGTTTAAACTTGTTTATTAAAACAATGGAACAATATGTATAAAAAAGCGGTGATAGTTAACCAGAATTAGTAATAAAATTTTTTTTAAGTTACTAACTGCTATAGTTAACTGCAACAGCTAACTACTTTTTCATAACTCTCGTTAAACATTAATTTTCATGATAAAAATTGAAAATTGTTATTTAATTTTTCATGTTTATCCTTATTTACAATACAATTGATAGATATTGGCTGGTAATGGGATGATTGTAGCGGTGATGTTTTGAATTAATGACTAAACATTGGCACACAAACAGCTAGAACTAATAAACGAAACATCATTATAAAATTTTGTGCTTGGACGTGTGTGTGGGTGTGTTTGTGCTTCGCTATGTATGTATGGATGAGTGTATGTATATGTGTTCGAGAGAAGTTACCATATAAAGCCTTTTTTCACCATGTAGATGGTAAGAAAAGAAGAGGTCATCCAAAAAAGACTTGGACTGCCAAAATCAAAGAAGATTTCAAAATAAATGACATGAACATCGCAGAAGCCGGAAAATGACAAAAAATAGAAAAAAAATGGAGGCTCTTTGTGACTAGCGATTGCCGCCCTGTGCTGGCGGACAGCAGATGATGATGACGATGACGATGATGATGTATTTGTGAGAAAACACTGTTGGTCCAGTTCATCAAGAAGTTCTCAAAAAAGAAATCACATGTCGATGACTGATGATTTTTCAACGGTGTTGATCTTCTATTTATACTAAATTCAGCTGTATACAACAACGTAGTATTAGCAATGGCCTTGCTTTATCATCCTTTGATAAATCATCAATTTTAATCACTGCTATTGTTGACATAAATTAATTTGTAGTAAACAATGCATTGCTTGCTAATCTAGAAGACACTTTTTTTTTATTTAACCACAACCAATATAAAGCTTGCTCTGCACCTTTAATAATTTTTCAGACATGCTGTACGCTTTTTGCCTGATATTCCTATGTTTTTGAAAATTGTACACGTCGATGCTCGGTGTATAAACAGTTCCTCATGCTCCAGCCTCGACAGCATAAAAACTGGTATTGTATTCTTTTTTGTTTTAGTCCTGAGTCAACTGTTCATATTTTTTAAATCGTGGCTACTGAGCATATTACCTTCGTACAACACAGTTCAACAACGAAAACTGAATTTGTATTCTCTGATGCTACCACCATCTATATCTGTTTCTTTGATGTATTTGAAAAACACAACCCAATTATTGGCGTTTTTTAAACTCGATCATATTTGACATCATTGCTTGTTCATCTCTCAAAAATAGCTATCTAAATACACTATCTAGCATAAAAACTGGTATTGTATTCTTTTTTGTTTTAGTCCTGAGTCAACTGTTCATATTTTTTAAATCGTGGCTACTGAGCATATTATCTTTGTACAACACAGTTCAACAACGAAAACTGAATTTGTATTCTCTGATGCTACCACCATCTATATCTGTTTTTTTGATGTATTTGAAAAACACAACCCAATTATTGGCGTTTTTTAAACTCGATCATATTTGACATCATTGCTTGTTCATCTCTCAAAAATAGCTATCTAAATACACTATCTAGCTTCGAAAGATTGCTTACCATTCGGCTGTCGACGTTTTCTGGCTCGGTCAACGTTCTCAGTACATACGCTCCAACTTTCTACTCTGCTTTTGAGGAAAAGAATCGATTTTAACAAAATTTGTATATCTCAAAATGAAAGCCTCTACCTTTTTAGAGAGATTTACAAAAAATTTTTCGCGGAAAATTCTTTGCGATAAAATTTGTCGCTGAAAATATTTATTAGAGAAAATTCTTCGCAAGGAAATTCTTTGCCGGGAAAATTCTTCGTAGAAAAGTTTTTCGTGAGAAAATTCTTCGCGAGAAAATTTTTCGCCGGAACATTTTTCGCTAAGAAAAATTTATTGATAGGTGAAAAAAAATATAGGTTGTATTATGTGAATGGGATGTTTTCATTGGTTCTAGGACAAAAACCCCCGCAGAATGCCACTCATCGAATAATAACGATGCATTTGTTGGTTTATCACTACTAGTCGTTGGTCAATTGCCTTCAATTACCACGTTAAAAAAAAGTCGTTCTTCACCAAATCCAATTTTACTGGAAGAACTCAATATTCTTGCCGATTATCAAATTACGTACGTTGGCGATGAGTTTTTTGCACGATAGCAACGATAGCGCAAATCAGATTCTCATTTTTTCCACACAAAAAAATCTTCAACTTTTCTCCAGTTCGGCAAATTGGTATGCTGGTTGAACGTTAAAAAATGTGCCGCATTTGTTCAATCAACTAAACACAATTCATGGTACTGATGGCGACAGTGTTATCCCTGCGATTTTCGCATTATTACCATCAGAAACGGAAAAATTTATTATCGTTTTCTTATTCAACTTATTTGCTTACAGCGCAATTTGGCTCCAGCTTTGTTCATGACCGACTTTGAACTGTCAGCTATTAATGCTTTTGATGTCACTTTCACAGCTTCAAGACAAAAAGCTGTTTTTTCCACTTCAGCCAGTGCATTTGGTGTAAAATTCAAGCTAATGGTCTTTAACAGCGTTATGAAATAGACGCTGAATTTGCTCTAAAGATGCAGATGCTCTCAGCCCATACCTTTCTACCTCCAGCTGATATTGTTGAAGAGTTTTAACGGCTATCAGGATAATTTTTAGCTGAGGGGTACCAGCTATAGATTATTTTGAGAGCACACGGATTGGACGTCCAAATCGTTGTCAAAGAAGGCCTCCCCGTTTTCGTTACGAATTACGGAATTGTTATAATGCTGCATTAATGGGCATTCCCAAAACTAATAATTCTTGCAAAGCATGGCATAGGACCTTTGGCGAATTAATTGGAGCAAGTCACTCGACTGTTTGAAAATTTATCAATGGCTTAAAGTATGAGCAGGCACTAAACGAAAAAAAAATTGAACAATATCTCGACGTTAGAGACAGCCCAGCAACAAAAAAGTGCTATCATGATACAGCCTTACGTATTCAAAGAATTGTGGAAAATTATGCGAATCGTGAAATACTAGATAATTTACGTGAATTGGTTCATAATTTTAATTTCTGAACTTTTTCGAAATTATCATTTTAATAATTTTGTTTCAAATTGTGTATTAGGCACTGCTTTATTTTCTGAAGCGATAAACTTGAAAGAACTTGTTCATTTTTTTAATGTTTTATTTTTTGAAGCATTAAACTTAAAAGAACTTGTTAATTTAATCAAAACAATAAAACAACAGCCTTATAATGGAGCACTTTGCAAAACTGAAAATCCATTACAAAGAATTTTTTGCGAAGAATTTTTTGCGAAGAATTTTTTGCGAAGAATTTTTCCTGCAAAGAATTTTTCCTGCAAAGAATTTTTTGCTGAGAATTTTCTGCGAAGAATTTTCTACGAAAATTTTTCCTGACACCTGTGAAACGAATTATGCTCTGGTGGTTAGCATAATGCGTCTTAAGCCAAAAAAGTTGAATTTTTCTAAAAAAAAAAGTGGCGCCCACGCAGTAATACTAGATGTATCAACAACCCAAAAAACCCAGCAGTTCATCAGAGGTTTGGAGAACGTCTTCAAGGGGGTTGTGATGATAAATAATACGATGGATTCAAGTTGGTCACGTCTTACCGCTACGAAGTGAGGGAGCATAAAAATGCTGATTGGTTTTAAGCTCATTGGAGAGAAATGGAATACTTGATAGATGCCGAAAGAAAAACTTTGATCACCTACAAAGCAAAGCCCAACTCAGATACGTAGTTCGGCTTACGTGCTGCCTTAAACCGAATCCAGCAGACAGCCCTTGATGTGCCAGCATTACTGAAAGGACTTCTGCAGCAGTACTCAGGTTGCATCAAGAAATCAATAAGCCCAATCCTTGTTAGTTTCCATCAGGTCAAAACAGGTGTGATTATAACCGATCGCGCTATGCAAATGGAGCGAACACTCTTTGGAGCCTTACGCGGTTACTAAAATTGCGAAAGACACCGCTCGCACTCGCAACTTTATCTTAGAACTAACTGCCATGTTGAAACTAAGTAACCTGTCTGCTAAAAAAAGGCTTAGCACAGCCATCGACTGCCTAACCTGTGGGAAAGCGCCTGGGAATGATGGTATCCAATCGAAGGTCTTAAAGAATTGGAAGGGTGCTCTGCTGAAGCCACTGCACGAGTCAATGTGACCCTGCACTGAAAGCAGGGTCACATTTTTCAGAATTTAAAAAGCGGCAATACCATCACGCTGTTAAAAAACAACAACGACCGTGGTGTATGCGAACGTTATCAAAAAATTTCTTTCTTTAGCTTTGCTGGTAGTGTTTATTGGTGTTGCTCTTGTTTGCATACAGCTCCTTGTTTATCAAGTTTATCCAAAATTCTAATGCGGTTTTAAAGCTGGCAGATTAACAGCTGACATGATCTTATTGCTGCGGTGTTTGTATGTGAAGTGTCGAAAAAAGCAGATGCCGCTTTACATTGCCTTCATTGAACTAACAAAACAGTTTGATTTAGTCAGTAAAAGTGGATTTTTTAGTTTGTTGCAATAAGTTGCCTGTCCTCCGCGACTGCTTGCAGTGATTATGTCCTTTTACAATAACACGCGTAGCACAGTCTACCACAATTATATTTTTGGCGTTGGCGTCGAACCATACATTCGTTTCGTTTCGACATCCAAAGTTGTTCTAATATAATTTTGAAAGTTTGAATATCTAAACCGCCTTAAAGCTTAGGGAGATCCATCGTCATGAACACGGCTGAAATATTTTGGATAGATTTACAAATGTTTTTATTGTAATTTACTCAAGTTTACTCACTGAACCTCATCGCTTAAACCAAGTCGCCGATATATTTAATGTTGAATGCTTTGTACGGCTACCTTTGGTTGACTCAATGATTTGAGGAAAACTTTGGGTGAGCTGAAATTATTTATTGTAACTTTAATTTTTCCTGCAAAAATTGTAAATGATTTTTTTGTTTATCAATTTGATCTTTATGTTTGTAGTTTTTTATACGCAAATTTAACCTCAACTAAAATGTATGAGAACAGAAAAAAATATAACATTACATTACAATGAGAATAGAAAGGCATATCCTAAAAATTATTTAAAATCTTAGCGATTGAACAAAATTTATTTGGTCAAGAATCTTAAAATTATTACGGAACACTCTTACATGGTATGTGCAGGGGAGGCCTGTCAATCACGACGATCACAAATCAACGTAGCCATAAGACACCGAAAAAGATACTAAATATGCTAAAAAATTGTGCAAATGCATGAAATAAATCAATTTAAAAATAATCAAAATTAATAAAATTTCTAAAATAATAAATAAATATTTATCCAGTGCCACTCGGATTTCAGATCATTCTTCTACATTGCTCATTTCTTTGGGTTCACTTCTGCTTCAAATTATTTGGAGGGTGATGGTGCAAAATGGCCTTATATAAGTCGGTGCCTAAAGGCGGTTGCAATTTAAAAAATCTTATACAACTCAAAATAACCGTGTTGTTGGACGTTGAATAATTAACTTCGTCATTTCCGTAATTCCAATGTCTTTCTCTTTCTTCAAGAATTATTGCCCATAAACATGGATTGTCATCTTTATATGGATAACTATAAGTGATATTCGCATTGTCATTAATTTCACTTTCATCCTCTTTTTTACAATTTTCAACTAGATTGAATTAATTATTAAAAATCAATTTTGCTTCATGTAATATTATAATTTTGTTTTATTTTTATTACCTGTACGTAATGAAATGGGATGAAATAATATCCAAATAATTATGATAAAAATCGTTATCGCTGTCATTTAAAATCAGACATATAACTAAAATTTATAAATAATTAAATATAACCAATAAATTTTGCAATTTTTCTCCAAACATTAAAATATCTCAATAGTTTCACATACCATACATAATACATAAAATATAATGGGGATCCAGTTCAGCAAGTTTGCTGCAAACATGCTGCTTTTAAAACTTTTTTATATTTTTGAAATAGTTAATAGAAAAACATTTATTTTTACCAAAGCCGGCCAAAGCTTTGAATCACTTGGTAATTTATTTTCTGAAATTTAGTTAATTAATCATTGAATCAAAAAGACGATTTATTTTAATTAGATTACTTAGAGCTTTGAACCACCTGTTAATTAATTTTATGAAATTTAGTTTATTGATCATTGAAACATAAAAAGATGATTTATTTTAATAAGATAAAGCTGAAAGTCAAATTTAATTAAAAAATGTGCTACATCATGTCTGTTAGCCATTGTGGCCATATAACATTTCTTTATAAATATTGGAACAAACATCATCGATTAATTTTCGCATAGGAATTGAACTATATGTAGAACTTTAACCGCATTCATTTGTGTCATTGGGCCGGGTATATATTTAGAATATTAAAAAAGATATTGGATTGTTGTGTTATACTGATGTTAATTTTATTTTAATAATTTTATAGATGAAACAAATGCAAATTGTTTCAATATCGAAATGGTGAACTTTTTCTTAACTTAGAATTACATGTTATCTTTATTTCACGAATCTCTAGTCAGTGTAATTTCTGTTAAATTGGGAAATATTTTTAATCTAAACTAAATGATGCGATAATGAACACGCACACACACACGCTCACACATGCACACACACGCATAAACATATATATATAATATACATACAGATTGTATATATATATATATATATTAATGTTGTTTTATATATATATATATATATATATATATATATATATATATAAACTTAATATTGATAGTTTCGACCAATTATTCTCTCAATATCGTGAACCGACACCTGCGACTGCAGTCAAAAACAAACCAGCGGACGTCGATATCGATATTGGATATCGTTCAATGTCTATCAATTTTCAACCAGTTAATACACCGCTATTAACTTCACGTCGTAAATCCACGGTCATTACGTCACTTGCTACCTTATTTAATAACTGCTAAATTGTTTATTTTATTTTTTGTAACGTAATTTAATTTTTTGTTTTCAGTTTTAATTTTTAATCAATAACTGCTAAACTGTTTTATTTTATTTTATTATATTACTTATTTCAATAACATAATTTATATTTTTGTTTTAAGTTGTAATTTTTCACTTATTTTAATTATTTATTAATTCAATAATAAAATTGCAATATTTATATGGTAGCCCTCCCACAACTTTACACCAAAATTTAATACAAAATTAGAATGCAACACAGTACGTGATGAAATGGAAAGATACACCAGTTTATGACGCAACACCCGAACACCAGCCGAAGATGAAATCACTAAAAAAGAATAAAACCGAGGATACATATTTAAAACAATTAACTTATAGAAAAGTAATAAAACTTTTAATATATCCAACTGATTAATGAATATCAAGCCAGACTATAGAAAATAAAACGAAATGTTTTAAGTCATAATAAATTCTAAAAAAAATGTTTTGACAACCAGTTAATATTGCCATATGACATTTAATCTGACGCCCGCAAACAATAGTTCCATATGAAATAAGGATGCATGAAAGAATAGTAAAGATTTATAGAATATGTTTAAGCAATAACGTCTTTAATTTTTATATAACACCTATTTTTTGGACATTTTTTTGAGATATATAAGATATGAAATTACTTAATTACTTGAAATATGATATATAAGATATTAAATTACTCGCCATAATAATACTTGAGAATTTTATACTTTCCACCTTATTTACAGTACAATTATGATAAATTATTGAGCAAAATTTCAATTTAGTTACAATTTTAAGACCAAAAAAATAATATTAGTTTTGGATATATTAATTTTTTAATAGTTGCAAGACATTCATCTAGACAAAGGTAGAAGTTTAGTATTCACGAGACTTTCGACTTCTTGCACCGAGCTGCGTAGTATCGTCCACACACATAAACAAATTTTAGGGAAGGGTTGAAATCCGCTAAATCATCAATGAAAATGTTGAAGAATAGTGAACCAAGTGTGGACCCTTGTGGCACACCGCTAATCTATTGGTAACAAATTAGATTTTGCATTTTTGTTGATAACGATTATTTAGATAGCTTCGACACCAACTCCAATCTTGACCAGTAATTCCATGACGTTGAAACTTTTAACAACAGGTCATGAGTGATGGAATCGAATGATCTAGAAAGATCTGTATGAAATGCCATACTCATCAAAAAATTTTGATATTTTTGAACGCAAATTTTTTCCAATACCTTAGAAATTGATGATATTAGAAATATTGGCAGATAATTTGAAACTTGATAAGTGATAAGTCTGACCACTTTTGTGAATTTGAATAACTTTTGTTATTTTAAGATATTTAGGAAATATCCCAGCAGTGAATGATAAAACGATGCAAAATGTTACTGGTTCGAGAATGCTGACAATGATTTATTGATATATTGTCATCTCTATCAGATAACGAATTGCTGAAATTATTGATTGCATCAAGAACTACCCTTGGAAGTACCCCTTCAAAAAAAATGATTCATTATTTGGGATTAGCATAAATTGAAGATAATCATTTGAAGAACACGTCATTGTCTTAAGAATTTGTTGAAGAATCGTTTATGAAATATTTAGGAATCTAGAATAATTTCATCTCCATTTTTGATGAAATTTATTAAAATATTACTGATTTCCTGATAACAGGTTATTAATTAATTTTTAGGTTGATTTAAAGCCATTTTTTTATTATCAAATTTTTTTAAATACCCGCTTTAGGTTCTTCGCTTCATTCTTTTAAATACATTACAAATCAAATAGATCTTTTTATTTTTATCATTGGGAGAACGTAGATATTATTTATATAATATGTTTTTTTTTGTCTAGAAGATATTAACATATCTGAATTAAACCAAGGATTTTTTATCTTTTTTTGAAACTTTACATTTTTAAAATTGGCATTGGATATAACTGAATAGATGGAGTCAATAAGACTTTATTAGCATCTTCAAGATTTGTAGAATTTAAACGCGATATCCATGCCTACTTTGATAGATTTGAATTTACAACCTCTCAATCAATTTTTTACGGATGAAGCTGTGCATCTTGAGCATTGTCGCTGGATCTTGCTAAATCAAAGTCATTGGAAATACAAAAAATAGGTAGATGATTAAAGATGTATGAATAAATGACACCAGGTGAAGAGACCAAATTGTTGTTTGAGAAATTTTATCATTTTATGTAGAAGAATGTCTTGTTATATCTCTTAAGTCTTCTTCTCTATCTTTTTATATTGCTGTAATCTATCGTCCTTCTTCTTCTTCTCTCACATTATTTTAAGATGAATTCTACTCACTCGCTGAATCTCTCTACTCTTTTTCTATTCCTTTCTACATCTCTGGTGACTTCAACTTGCACTTCAATAATTTATCATGATCTTACACTCGTAGATTTAATGATATTTTGTCTCTTTTTAACTTGACACAATATTGTTCTTTTCCTACTCATACTTCTGGTAACACTATTGATTTTATAATAGCTTCATATTTTTCTAAGCCTATTAATATCTCTGCTAGCTTTGTTCCTTATTCTGATCACCTCCTTATTGAATCTGTTTTTTCATTAGATTTTCTTCTTTCAAATTCATTTGTCTATTTCTAAAAGATGCTGGTCTTCTCTTAATAAAGATATTTTTCTTCAATCTCTTTTTTGATACTACCTTATTTTCTGATGTTGATGATTTTGTCTATGCTTTTAATATCTACATTACTTCTATTCTTGATAAGCTTATTTCTCTTAAATCTTTTACTTATAGGCTTTATTCTCGTATGGCTCCTTGGTTCGATTATGCTTGTGTAATAGCCAAGAAAAGTGTTAGAAGACTGGAAAAAGCCTATAGGTTAAATCCATCTAACTCTCTTTATTCTATCTATGAATCTGAATTGATTAATTATATATATCTTCTATTCTCTAAACACTCTACCTTTCTTAGAAATTCTATAACATCTGCCTCAACATCTAAAAACAGGTGGTCTGCTCTATCTATCTAAACTTCTTCATAAAAAATCCTCTCACTCATATTTTTCTGCTCAACAGTTTTATGACTTTTTTTTAAATAAAATTACTTCTTTAAGAACATCTAATTCTAATTTTTCTTCTCATAACTTTACTAAACTTACTACTGAATCTTTTTCTGTATTTACTCAAATAAATCTTTTAGAACTAACTAAAATTATTAATTCTATGTCGTCTACAACCTGTTTTCTAGATCTACTTCCTTCCAATTTATTTATAGAATTTTTTTCAATATTTTATCCAATCATTCTCAAATTAGTTAATTTATCTCTTTCCACCTCTAAATTTCCTACTTCTTATAAGAATTCTATTGTTGTTCTTATTCTTAAAAACACATCCTTAGATCCTACCTCTTTATCTAATTATAGACCTGTTACTAATATTACTTTCATCTCTAAAATAATAGAAAAAGTAGTTTTTAATCAACTGTCATCCTATTTAAACTTAAACTTCTTGCTACCTGTATCTCAATCTGGTTTCAGACCTGCTCACAGTACTGAAACTTCTTTTACTCAAAATACACAATGATATCCTTCTCTCTAGTGACAATAGTAATCTTCCTCTTCTTCTTGCTCTTGACTTTTCCTCGGCTTTTGATACTGTTGATCATACTATTTTCTTGAGACTGCTAAATCTTTCTTTTAATATTACCAATTTTTGTCTATTTTGGTTTTTTTCTTATCTCTGTAATCGTTTTTCTTCTGTTGCTTTCAATAATTCTACTTCTAACTCCTCTACTTTTACTTTCGGGGTACCTCATGGTTCTATCCTTTGCCCTCTTCTATTTATACTCTATACCTCTGAACTACCTCGTATTATTAATAACTTTTCTTTTTCTAGCCAACTATATGCTGATGATTCTTACATTTATACTTCTTTTCCTCCATCTAATTTCAATAGTGTTCTTCATAATCTATCTCTATGTCTTTCTTCAATTATTGCCTGGTCTGACTATATGTGTCTTAAACTTAATCTTTCTAAGTTTGAATTAATTTATTTTAATAAATCTAAACACTCTATTACTATTCCTCCTATTATCTTACCTGATTCTAAAACTCTTGATGTCTCTCATAAGTTTCGTAGTCTAGGCTTTATCTTTGATTCTACTATGTCCCTCTCTTCTCAGATTAATAGTGTTACCAGAAGCTCTTACTTTCATCTACGTAGAATAAAAAAACTTTTTTCTTTTCTTGATGATCCTACTCTTCTCCAGGGATGCTGATAAGACCAGTATAGAAAAAATAGTAAAACACTTGACAAATGTGACCAGAAAAACATCGTCAGAATCTATCGACTTGGCAAAAGTGACATCATTACACGTTCGATTTAGATCAAATTTGATGATGTAAAGAATAAGGAATTGGTCCTAAGAAACAGTCATAGATTAAAATCCATTGGTGATGATTTGACTGGTATTGGTCTGAGCTACGATTTTACAAGTGAACTAAAATAGCTTCTCAGTAGTGCGAAGAAACAGGAATCTGAAGATAAAGAGTGTTTTTTATACCGGGTGAGGGGGGACGTCGGAAGATGGGAAGTGGTACGTTTACCTGCAAGAAAACATTAAGTTTGATTAACGGACGTGTTGGCACTAGGTATTGCTTAGAACAGTTGGTAAAGGTACAACATGTTAAATTTTGCAGATTCAGACCTGGCAACTAGAAATATAATACTTATAAAAAATGGTTAGGATTGGTCTGTTGAATGCCAAATCTATCTACAATAAGGTTGATGATGTCAATGGAATGATTTATGCGGGACTCGACATATTGGTTCTGTGTGAAACATGGCACGGGACCGAAGGTAATATTTCCGTTAGATTAGCTATGCCACCTGCTTTCACATTTGTGGATTTTGTCAGACCGCACGACCCTGGTCACGAAGATTTGGTAATTTATTTTTGAAGTGATTTCAAGTATAAAAAAATAAGACAAATGCTGCACCTTCGTTTGACGGTGAGTGTAGACATACAAAGCGATTCTGTAGGAAGATGGAAAGAATTTATAGGAACCGTCCGGAAAGTGGGCGGAAAAAAAGATGGGTACTCTCATTGATGGCTAAAAACAGACTCTTTTCTGACAAGCGTACACATATTGGAACAATATCGTAAGTAGTAACAGAAATCAAAGAAATCTTTGGGATGCTGCCAATAAAATGTTAGGTAAAAATTCGGCAAACAATTCATTTAACGATGACAACTCTCTAAACGCTGATCAGATTTTACAATTTTTTGATGATAAAATTGCTAGGATAACAGAAACAACAAATGCACATTCTGAATTTCCGCTTCAAGTAGTCTCGATGTTGGATATGTACGTTTTCATGCTTTCCGTTGGTTACTGAAACTCAGTTGAGGGGAAACGGTACTTAAATCACCAACGAAAACGTGTAGTTTGGACATAATCTCTACGCATATCTTTAAAAGATACTTGGACTCATTTGTTTGTTTTCTGACGAGTTTTGTAAACCCTTGTTTACGCGCTGGTAAATTTTCTTCTAACTGTAAGCACGCGATAATTCAACCGATTTTGAAAAAGGCTAACCCAGATGCAAATGAGGTGAGTAATTACAGACCAATATCAAACCTTTCCTTTGTTTCAATGGTTTTGAAGCGTGTTGTTCTTGATTTCCTAATGGAAATCAAGAACAACACGGATGGATCTAACGACGAATAATTTAATGCCACTCGACGCTACTATTCAACTGAAACTGCATTGCTTCATGTATTGTCAAACATGTTTGCATGCATGGATGATCGGAAGATATCATTACTTTCCTCTCTCGACATGTCTTCCGCTTTTGACTGCGTTAATCACAACAAGCTTCTTTTAAAATTACAGAATAATTTTGGAGTTTTAGGAACGGTACTCGCCTGGTATAAATCATATCAAACGGGTAGGTTTTGTTTAGAAAAGTCTTATCAGCTGTCAAGGGGTAACAACGAGAGTTCCTCAGGGATCAGTGCCAGGACCAGTTTTGTTTTTACCCTTTACATTAAAATATTAATGTCGCATGGACTTATTGGTTATGCGTATGCTACAGGTCATCCAGAGACATTTCAGCCTGAGATTGATAAAGTTGTTGGTTGTTTAATGGAGATTGAACGTTGGATGTTGAGCAATTCCTTGAGGTTGAACCGAGGTAAAACTCAGATGCTTCTTGTCGGTAGATGGCAGCAGTTGTCAAGACTTAATATAAACTCGGTTGAAGTTGGTGACGTTGAAGTATTATTTGCTTCTACAGCCTTGAATTTGGGGGTATGGTTGGATAGCAGGCTTTCGATGAAAGATCAAATAAAGTCGCTACCAATTGCAAGTATGATGCATCTCAGAAAATTGTACAAGATTCGACACTATTTGAACAGATCTGCCATGGAAACACTGGTACGTGCTTTTATTACATCCAGATTAAATTATTGTAATAGTTTATATTTTAAAATACCTGACAAATAAATAGCTGTACTTCAGTCTATTCAAAATTGAGCTGCAAAACTTGTCACAAAAAATCTGACTTCAATCTTGAACGACCTACACTGGCTAAAAATTGAAAAAAAGAATAATTTTCAAAATTGCTGTCTTAACGTTTCGGTCATTACATAGTTTAGCACCACAGTACTTGGCAGACATGTTCATCAGAAAATCATCTGTGTTGTGTTCGCAGTTGAGATCAAATGACATGAACCTCCTGGTTGTGCCGACAACGAATTTACAGACCGGATCACGCAATATTGCAGTTGCTGAGCCGGTGGTTTGGAACAGTCTCAATCACCCTCCAAATCCCCTCCTGAAGTAAGCTCCTTGTTTGACCGTTAAAAGTGAGCGAAGGCCGTTATACTTATTCTAGTTATGTGATTGATGTAATATAAAGAATAAAATATACTGGCCTTCGCGTTGCTGAAAAGCATCTCCTAAAGTTGTTGTAAGGGGTAATTAGCATATGCGCTGCTAAAGGTAATTAGCATATTATGTATATGTTCCATTAAGCTATCGGAACTCATCTTTGATTCACCGCCCCTTTGGTGACATTCCATGTAAAGTTTATAATAGAAAGAATAGGCTATGATAAGATAAGTATAACACGTCGTTAACACTGATCACGTCGTTCTTTTAGCGTTTTACGTAAGGGTATTTTGATGGAAAGTGTTATCGTCAAAACTTTTACAACAAAAAAATCATAATGTTTATTTTAATATTCCCATACGTTAATTTGTTAATTATTTATTTTTATAACAATGCTCAATCATTAAACAAAAACACAGGAATAATAAATTTTGAAACATTTAAAAAAAATTAAAACGAGAATTGGTTGTGTATTTAGTTTTTTTTTCGCCATTAATACAAAGAAAACTATGAGCTCGATAGCGACCAGATCTACTGTATTATGACTCTTCGATCATTTCGTCCCAGCGTATTCATTTGAATCTTTAGATTTGTTTATTTGTTCAGATTATTTGGTATTGCGTTAACCGTGTTCGTGTAAATTCCTCTAATTTTAGTTCGATTACCGGCTAAGTGTGCGGAATAAAAAATAAAATACAATACAAATACAGTAGTCACATATTAAATGATTAGTACTTAGTAGCCTTTGTTTTTTTTTAAAAAAACGTGGTTGTGGTATGTTCGTCTTTTGAATTGTTTATTTAATTTATTTATTTACTTTGCTTACTGTTTCTAAATTTAAACATAAAAGTTATTTATTAAGCTAGCCATTGTACATTATACAAAATTTTAATATATTTTATATTAATTAATTAATTAATATAATAAATAATTTAATAATATTAAAATTATTATTATAATTTTGCATTATATTTAATTAAACTTGTTTATTCAGATTGATTTGTTTATTTTACTGCATTACCCTTTTTAGAAATTCTAGTGATTTTTGTTATGATTTTCATAGTTTCATAAATTTTGATTTTACAGTTTCATAGATTTTCACCATTTGTGGAAACCCCAAGAGACCAACACTCAAAATAAAAATTTACTGTTCTGCATTCAACAATTTTTTTATATCATCTTTTATAATACAAAAAAACCAAAGTGTAGACAGAAACTTTTGATATTTATTCATCTTATTTTTACATCCTTCGTCTTAAATATTTAGAAACACACAAATATAGCTTTAGTAATAATAATTATAATATAATATAAAGTGATTTAAAGTCAAAATATTTTCTTTGGCACTTAATCTTTTTACCACAAAGTCAATTTACTTGAGAAAGAAGGCTCTAGTTTTGACTTTGTGGCATCCATTTTTTTTACAACTTGGTTCTGTACAGTTTTCTCTACTCCGAAATTTGTCAACTTATTTAAAACATCAGCCAAAGTCATTTACAACTAAAGACAGTTGGAAACTTACAGACAAAAAATCGTTACACTCGTTTTCTCTACAAGTTTTTCAACGACTTGAAACATCTAAGATGCCAGCCCCGAGTAGAGCTCGTGTTTATTCTGATGTCAATAATTCAAGGCCAAGAGAATATTGGGACTATGAGGCACATGTAGTAGAATGGGGGTTAGTATTTTTTTTACTGATTTATTTTTTCTTTTTAGTAAAACGTGTGATAAATGTTACATACAACTAATAAACATTGGTATTTTCAGTAAGGTGCATGAGGTTTGCCAAATATTTCACAGCCAAGAATTTCATTATAAGAGTTAAATAATTAAACTCAAATAAGTCTAGGACTTGTGAAATTTTCAGGGTTTAGCTTATCCAAGTGCATTCAGTAAAAATTAAAAAAAAATCTAATGTTCAGTTTTTATTAAAACAATTTTCAGAGTTGAATGCCAATGACCATAAAAATGGTTTTTTGTAAATAAAAATTTAATCATCTAGGGTTGGTAAAAAAATCGAGGTTATAATATATCCTTGAAACCTTTATTATAACATTCAAAACTGACACATCCTAGATATGTAGTTAAATTTTTATTCATTAAAAACACTTTTCTCGTTTTTTCGCACTAAATCTTTGAAAGTTTTTTACAAAAAACTATACATCAGAAATTAATAAAATTTGCACTGTATACACATGGATTTGGGATTAATAAACACTGAAATTTTTAAAGATCCTAGACAATTAGTTAAATTTTTATTCACATAAAACCATTTTTATGGTTATTGGCATTAAAATTTGAACACTGTTTTAACAAAAACTGTGTTTCAGGTTTTTTTTTAATTTTTCACCAAATGCACTTTGATATGTTGTTAATAAAATCCTGAAAATTTCACAGGCAAGTTATTTTAGTTTTATTGTTTAAAAGCTTATATTAAAATCCTTAGCTGTGAAATTCTTGGCTAACTTCACGCACCTCTTTCAGTTCAATAATATAAAAGTAAATTATCAACATTTTTAAAAATTTGTAAGACTTCATAAAATTTCATTTCAAATTACGAGTTTATAAATATGATGTAATTTATAAAAATGCAAAGTATACTTCAATGGTTTGAAATTAGTGACTTTTTTGTTCTTTGTACATATCAATCATTCAATCCTCATTTATAGTCTCCATCCATTATGGGTCAGATTTTTTATTCCATTCATCAGTTTCTGCCTCCAAGCCGATCTATCCATTGCATCTGTCTCCTTGAGACAAAGTGCCTTGAAGTCCTCCTGTATGGTCTGCATCCAGGACTTTTTTGGGCGACCTCTTGGGCGGAAATAGAAATTATTGTATTGTTTTCGCTTGGCTTCTTATTGCCAAACCATCGTAGTTGATGATGACGACATGCATCCTTCAACGTGCACAGTAAAATCTAGCATATTTCCCAAATGCTGAAATGAAGTAACAGTTTCGATCTAGTATCTGGGCTCCGTTGTCGCGAGTTGATGAAGGCTGGGCATACAAAATCAGTCACTTTCCTCAGTGAGCCGGTAATTCTCTAGCATCATCTGTGACACCACTGCTGACAATGTAGGCATTTGATCGAGTTGCTTCCAACTCCAGCCTCACACACCAAACATAGCCAATGACCAGAGATTACAGGCTCAGTGGTACCACCGGTGATCATAGTTTTTGTTTTGTCAAGGTTTACCTTTAGCCCGTGTTCGGCAAGCTGGGTATTCTAGACCTCAAACTTTCTGGCTGCATCTTGTACTGAGGCCGCCGTCAGGACGATACCATCTGCATATATTACATTCCATATGTTATCTGAGCTTATCAGTTTGGTTATTTCTTCCATCACCGTGATGTAGAGCAGGGGGCTGAGGAGTATTGTTCCCTGATGGACGCCGACGTTAATATCAAATTCATCCGTGTTACCGGCCGTTTGGCTGACCAGAGTTTTTGTGTTAGAGTTTGTTGCCATAACTGGGGTGCACTGGCTATGAGGCGCGTCCCCAGTTGTTGGATAGGGGAAAGTCCTGGACAGGGAGATCTTCTAGGATTGCATTGAATAATACGAAATAAGATGCCGCGAACCAACTGTACTAGAAGAAAGAAGACAACGTTGAAAGAGGCGGAGGATCCTAGGACAACGGCTCCAACAGCGGATGATCTTCGATTCTAAATCCACTGCCTTGTGGAACAGGGACCTTTGACCCAAAGGCTAGTTGCACTGCTTACAACAGTGCTCTCTTGGGCTGCCTTGTGTGCTTCCAGCAAAAAGGCTAGAATACAGTGCTTATAACTTGTGGTTGTCATTAGGAATTGGGCAATTCCAGATATAAAAATTTTTTGACCCATACATCTTCCATGTTCTTTGTACATAGCATAATTAAAATAATTGCTCTTGAGACATTTCTAATTACTAATTCAATTTTTGTTCTCATTGTGATGAATAAATTTTCATCCAGGCTAGATATTGCTGCCACATTGTTGAAAAATTGCTAAATATCCTTTATTTTATGGTATTCTATGGTAAATGAATCTGAATCGGAACGCAATGTTTGTGTATGGTAAATGAATCTTTGAATAGGGATGCAAATGATAGGTGTGTTAACATCAATATTTTTATTAATGATATATTGACAATATATCAACAGTTGAACTCTCATTTCTCAAAAATATCAACGATAATATTTTGATTCGTTGAACCAAAGTTTCACAAAACAAATGAATGGGTAACAAACTACTTATATGTTATTTATAACGACCTTGCATTTATAGGTAGACATTGCTCGTTTGTCATGATTGACTATCAATCAATCAGTCAATAAAACTTCGTTTAGCGTCCAGAGACCCAGTTCTCCCGAGGTAGGACGTTGTTTTCTTTGCCATCAATATTTTGCGCCAAATTAGACGATCAGTTGTATCCATTTCATTGAAATTTAGAGCTTTCATGTCTTGCTCGATTGTTTGCGACCAGGACTTCTTTGGACGGCCTTTAGGACGTGTGCCAGGTACTTCAACATCTGCAAGAGAAGTTATGGCATTGTTTCCTTTCGTTTGACATGACCAAACCACCGCTGACGTTGATGCCGGCATTCGTCCTTTATATCATCTAAACCAGCACGACGCAGGATTTCGGTAGATTTGATGTGGTTCTTCAGACTAATTCGTTGCATCCATCGGAGCATTTTCATGTCGGTTCGTTGAAGTTGTTGGTCCAATTTTGTTGTCATTGGCCATGTTTCTGCACCATATAACATCACCGGACGTATCACAGATTTATAAAGTCTTGATCGTAGTGGTAGTGGGATGTCACGCCGCATCAATATAGAGGCAAGGAGATGCCATTTATTCCAGGCTGCACGTATGCGTGCTCGAACGGTAGCTTCAGCTGTTCCAGTATAATCCAGAACATCCCCTAGATATTGAAACGATGTGACTTTCTCTATTTTAATGGCTTCAAAAACATTGCTATTTCAAATTTGTTGTTGTGGATTGATGCAAGCAGAACAAACAAAATCAGACACTTTAGATAAAGTACCAATTATTTTTGAACAACTTTTGTGACACCACTGGTTACACTGCTGACACTTGATTGAATGGTTACCTACACCAGCTTTTTAAACTGAACAGGGCCATCGTCCAGTAGTTGTGGATTGGATGGGTTCACCAGTGTTCATTGCTTTGGTTTTGCTGATGTTGACTTTGAATCCATGATCGGCAAGTCTGGTGTTCCAATCTTCAAACATCTGTGCTGCATTCTGCTCAGACGTGGCTGTTAAAACGATATCATCAGCATATACTAGATTCCAAATGTCACCAGTGCGTATCGGTTTTGTGATTTCTTCCATCACAGTTATAAATAACAGTGGACTGAGAATCGAGCTTTGGTGAACTCCAACGCCGATGTCAAATGCATCTGTGTTTCCAACCGTTGTGCTGACAAAAGTCTTAGTATTCGTATACATTTCCATCACAAGTCGAACAAGATATTCTGGAATGAGTTGTCAACGTAGACTCCACCTGCACCTGTTTGCTTCTCGGGGAACTCGATCAAATGCTTTTTCAAGGTCTACAAAAATGTGTGATAGTTGTTGATGCTTTGCAAGGTACTTTTCCTGCAGTTGCTGAAGGATGTGAATTGCATCAATTGTTGATTTTCCTGCTAGAAAACCAATTTGATAATTTCCGATTGGGAGGCTCGACTCTACAGTGATGTCTGGAGTCGGACCTTCGATGGGTGGAGCGTCAAAGTTGACATTGATAGGATTTTTTTCATTTAACAGACGGTTGATGCTTGATCAAGAACCATCTCATTTTTGATACATGAGGCACCAACTATGTCTTTTTTCGTACGCTTTGCTTGCTTTGCTATACGATACAGAGATTTCGTTTGTTCATCTTTGCTTTTAGTGGGCCACTCTCTGCACTGATCTGTCAGAGCCAGTGCGATTTGACGTCTTGCATAGTTGTTCTTCTCACGGAAAATTTTATAATCAACAGACTTTGATTTTTGCCACTGCTTGTATGCAGCTTTCTTTTCAGCTATTGCATTTAGTACATTGTCATTCACCACCAAGTGTCCCATTCATGCTGACGTTTTGTTCCAGTTTCCCCACAAACTGTAGTTGCAGCGTTTATTAAAACGTTTTTGTATGTACTCCAATCTGTGTTCTTACTGTGTGGCAACAGTCTGTTGAAATTGTTCTCGATGAATATTGCTTTTCAGTTTCCACGTTTTTCAACATGACTGACTAAATGAATGACAGACTGACTGTGACTGTCTGACCAACCAATTAACTAGTTTCCTAATTAACTTATTTATTTATTAATTAGCTTTATTTATTAACTTTTTTATTAAATAGTTTATTAATATGCTTATTTTTTTTCGGTTGACTGCTAAGTTAATGCTTTTTGCAAGCTGAGAACTGTTGATGTGAATTTTTAATAATTTTCCTATTCAAATACATTTACAATTATTACTTAGCATAGATCAGATAGCAACAATACATTTTTTTCTAAAATTTCTGAAACGCATTGGCATTGCAGATTTTGGTGCTAACTGCAAAAATATCCCACCGTGATAATTTTTTTTTAGTCTTTATCATTGTAGCTCTGACATACGCAGAACCACTTACAATGTTACAGATATATTATCTGTATATCTTTTATTATGTTCTTCAT